AGCATCCTCGCCGACTATTTTGTCAATGGCACAGCTTTCCTCCAGCAGCCGGTCGTCCAGAGGGTATTCAACGTCGACGGACTGATGGGCTATCATGGTGTCCCGCAAATGCCAATGTTTATCTACAAGGCAATTCAGGACGAATACAGCCTGATCAGTGATACCGACACTCTTGTCAATAGATACTGCGGCGCAGGGGCCAATATCTTATACCAGAGAAATAGGGCAGGTAATCACCTCGACGAAGAGACAAATGGAGATGAACGGGCTTTCGACTGGTTGGAAGCAGCATTGAACGGGACGCTCACGATGCAGCCAGGATGCACGGTTCAGAATGTGACGGTCAATATCACCTCACATGCGCCGTTTGCGCTGCCACCCTGATCGCACAAACGTTTGTCATTTAGAACAGTAGTCGATCTACAAGTACATTAAAATGATAATCTAGTCCAACGTTTTCTGGTCGAGTATTCCACGACTTCACTTGCATTGTTAGAAATGGCGCAGATAGATGGCTAAATGAGTCTCGAACTACAGTGCCACCCCTTCGACAGAAAGGAAAGGCATGGTCGGCATTGGTGAGCGGCATGGGATGCTGGCGTTGTGGACGAAGGACAGCGGAATTTTGTTTAACCCCCCGCTGGTTGACTCCCAGACGGAACTCGCCCCTGGCTGCCTGGTCAATCGGTCGCGAGACATTGTCTTTCCACTCCCGCCCTCGGTGTGGAAGGATTTTGGGCTATCCGTACCAGACCATACGGGTAGGGCGTCGACCAAAGGAGTCCCGTAACTGACGGAAAATGATGGAGTGGTGGGACCTCCAAATGGAATCGATATATCACCAACACACCCGAACAATAGTCATAGCGTTTTCCGCGGTGGTTTGTGGAGTATGGCACTTCGAAGGCTTTGTTGTGTGGACTTCCCCAATTGAGTGGCAACTATTGCTTGCAAAAATGATCCTTTATCCGGCCTCTATTGTTGTAGTGGTGGTCGGGACCGTCGATCCTGAACGGGCGCATCCGAACCCGGACCTGAAGAAACATTGCCGCAAGCCCTATGAAGCTAAATGTTGACACTCGGGCTGTCCAGGGGCCAGTAAGGTGAGACGTCACCAGACGCGATCTACCTGAATCCCTTCCGTCTCCAGACACTTTCTCATGCCGAATGCTGTCAGCGGGGGAAAGGCAAACTCGAAAATTCTGTTGAGAAGCCAATGCAGGACCCTTTCGCGAGAGGACAGGGGGGACTGAGGGCCTCTTGAGGTCTCGACTCGGGCATTTAACAAGGTGTGGCAAAATCGGGACAGCACTCCAAGTCAGTAGCAGACCATTGGAGCTGAGACTGACTTCAACTCTGTTCAGGGCCATGATGATCGACGAGTATGCCGGTAAATCTCTCTTTGTTCAGACGATGCTGAGCACCTTTCAGGACATCTCGATCCATCCCCGGCAAATAGACTGGAGGGGGCGACGACGATGATCATCATGCTGGATCACGCAACAGTGAATATCCTCAAGTTGGTTTATAGAGCAAACCGCCTAAAGTTGCACGGTAACGGAATAGTCCTCGATCATGGGAAAGTATCGCGATCAGATTCGGAAGGCAACATTTCGATAGACGCAATCGGGAGTCGCCGGGCATTGGATGCGGTCTTGGCAACTGCGGTAACGTGACATGTGAGGAAAACGGTGGAGCATTAAGACAATGAGGGAAATATACGGTGGAGCATGGAGGCTGCGATTTGCCGCTGGGTCTTTGTCACCTCGCATCGCACTCTTCATCGCGCCTCTATCGAGTTGTCATCTCCGAATCACGTAAATCTGATCAAGCAGAAATTTCCCACAAGACAAGTTGGGTGCCAGTGGTACCAGAGTCGGACCCATCGCCACATCCGAATGGGGTCTAGCAACCTCGTGATCACCTATTTTGCACGCAACCAACAGACGCATCCTTCTTCGTGGACAAGTCAGAGTATGTCACTCAGGCTTGTCACTGTTGTGTTCCTAGCGTCCTTGCCACCCTCAACGTTGACTCGTCAGGCAACGTGGCTCGAAATCTGTCAAACCAGTCAGCTCGAAACTCACCCGCAGCGAACCCAAAGGGGGGCACTGCTGCCTCACCAGAAAAGGGCGCTTGCCGACGTCCCCATGTATTCCTCCTACGTAATCTTGTGTCACCAGGCACTAAGAGTTGTTTGACACGCTCGATGCGAAGCTCGTATCACCACCAGTCAGCGTTCGCTCCAAATGGCATCCTGGTCAATCAATGCCTCAAGTGCAAAAGCTAGGACCCCTCGCCTGTGGGCTGGTCGAAGTTTGACTGCCCAACACCCATGCAAACAAGCCCTTTGGAAAAGACGGTTATCAATGGCGATCCTGAGACACGCGAAACGACCCTCTCGCTCAAGCGTTCCACACCCTACGCACTCGAACAATTTCGGTAAGGCTCAAAGTGGGGACAACTGGTTTATCCTCTACTGGCGCTATTGGTTATTGTCTTCTACAAAGAACTCCTGATCTACCATGTTCATTCATTCTTTGGAGGAGGTCACATGGACCCGTTGAGAGCGGAGCTCCACCCACCATTCACAGTCACCCATCTGTAAATTGTGTTGCGGATCACAATCCCCTTTGCCATTTTCGAATGGTGTAGGGAGACAATTGGGCCTGCCTTACCACTAGCACATCGTGGCGAATCAAAAGGTGTCAGATAACAATAAGTTACAAGCCACAGAGAAGTCGGCTGCCGACAATTCCGCCGAGGCTGGCACTGCAGCGTGACCCAAGGCGCAGAGGCAAATTGGGTTCTGGTGCGAAGGGGACCACTACACTACTGGGAGCCTGGACTCTGCTAGAGCCCTCTGTGTGTGTTTGGGCGTCCCGTGCTCTCGATCTCGACAGTCTCACCACGCTGCAACTCTCTTTCAATTTGCGAGAGTTGGTGGCTGAAAACAGACTCCGGCCATTGTTTAGCAGGTAGGGGCCCCCCTATCTGTGGAATGAGTGTGCAGCAAAACACCCTCAAGGGTGAATACCTACATAGAAACAAGTGGGCTCGAAAGTTATGTGGTCAACGCAGACTACGTAGCGCTGACCAGAATGCAGCCCTCGCCAGAGATAGTAATCTCCATCGTGAAGGGAGCCTTGTGTCCGGAGTAGGCGACAGAGTGTCCGCCGCCCGGATGAGTTGCAAATCTCAGAACGCCCATGGGGGCAATTGGGCAGGAATGAGGGAAGAGCACTGCATGATGCTTCTGCCGCTATTCCAGCACACCCCCTTCGCGCTGGGGTGGACTCTGGTAGGCCGTGGGTGATTGGACGTTCAAAGTGATTGGGAGCAAGGGATGCAGTTGAGCAAGTTCGGACCGTCAGGGTGCGGTTAGTGCTGGGGAGGCAGGGCCAGTGTCCAGCATTGTCCAGCATTGCAACCTGCGTACTTTGCAGACCGACCAGGCCGCAGTTCCTTTTTGCCCTGCCATTTTCAGAGTCTGGGCTACTGAGCCCGCCATCATCTGGCATCCAGGGACCCCTTCCTTGGTTGAAACACGAGCGAATGGCGATGGATGTCTGCCCAGGCCAGCACTAGCCCCCTTCCAACTCTTCCAGGCGCGAGGCGCAAAAAAGCAACACACGATCCAAGCGTCTCTCACCGACCAGGCCACTCCCCGACCTGCCGATGGACGATCAAATTTTTTCATGGTTGCTCGTCTCATGTCCGATGCCGTCTGTGCTGGCGCCGGGAGCACCCAATCGCTATCCACCAAAGGCCCCCTCCAATGGTGTCAACCATTCCACACTTGAAAGAGACGGTTTGACCAGGCTTGCCTTGATGAAGCAGAACACGGCAGGCTGGATGGGAGTCTGCGTCTACCTGGTCGTGGCGTCACACCTGAAATCTCTCACAGAAAGCCATTGGTGTTAATTTTACAGCCAACACCCGGAAGAAGGCGGGCGGCGAATTTGGGTATGGCAACCCGAACACAGTGCCCTCGTACTTTGCCAGTCAACAGCCCAAAACGAGTGTGCTTCCGGGCATGGCCATGTCGAATTTCGCCTTCCTCCGTGGTGTGGGAACCCAACCCTGCAAGCACCCCAAGAATGCAGATTTGGTTGATTGGGGTGCTGGATAGTGCTCGTCAGGGAGAGCAGCTACTGGTCGACCTGCTAGCGCTGGCGCTCGGTCTCGCAAGGAACGCTGATCTGTTGTCGGTGGTGACAAGAAATGCGCCCAGCCACTTGGTGATCCGCTCATCGCCCACTTTTCCACCGACCCAAGACTATGCAACCCACTTGTGCCCGTGTCTCCTGCCAGACGGTGCCCGCCTCGTCTTGCTTCCTCTGGCTGGCCTAAACCAAAACCGCTCATGAAGAGCTCGTCATCCAGCGTCCCCAGCGTCAGACTACAGCCCAGGGTTTGCGAACTTTGACGCATCGATGTGGGCCCTGCCCCTTCCTGGCGTACTATTCGCAGCACCCTCTGACCAGGTTCTGACGGCTTTTTTGCCCCACAAGCATGGGTGGCATGAGTGTGGGCGGTCCGTGCGTCGACGCTTGCCATGTTCGCCATGCTCGCAATGGCTCTTTTCGAGTACAACGTCCGTCATACCTAAAAGGACATGATATTGCCTCTATACCTCAATACATCTACTCGCATCAACACCACCACCACCACCACCACAAAACCATCCAACATCCCACCTGGAACCTCTTAACCTCTCTCCTATATCTCACTATCTACTCTCTGCTCTGTATCACTTTGTATCCCCATACCTTCTGGTCTCTCCTTTACCTGCTCGACTTCCAAGCCGATCACCACATATCATAATCCATTGGACCTACATTCCATATCCAGGGACTGGCCACATTTCTGTTACATTTCCTCAAAACACGTCTCTGGACCTCTTCTGGACCCATGTTTTGAACTGTTCTTTTTGGTCTTGCTCGACTCTCCTCCCTTTTCCTAGACCAAGTACTCCGTACTTTTGGGCTCTCCCAAGAATGCTATTGACGCCACCATCGTCCCCTCAACTCGCGACTTGCCTTTCACCAGAGGACCGATTGGGGTGCGTTCTTGCTGGCCGACTCGAACTGGTCTCCATCCTAGGGATTGGCGCTTATGGAGTGGTCTACCAGGCCATCGACAGACACACAAACATCCCCTATGCCGTGAAGGCCCTACCCAAGATTGGATTGGATCCCAGACAACGACGCTTCCAACACCGCGAGATTGCCCTTCACCACCAAGCCAGCCAACATCCCAATGTTGTCTCGCTGCTTCGCATTCTGGAGAGCCCGGACTGCACATACGTGGTGATGGAATTCTGCCCTGAAGGCGACCTGTTCTCCAATATCACTGAACATGGCCGATTTGTCGGTGACGACCAACTGGCCAAGCATGCTTTCTTGCAGATTTTGGATGCCGTCCAGTATTGCCATTCCATCGGGATCTACCATAGGGACCTCAAGCCCGAGAACATCCTGGTTACCAACCACGGCCACACTGTCAAACTCGCAGACTTTGGGCTTGCCACCACCGATTCCATCACTTCGGACTTCGGGTGTGGATCTACGTTCTACATGTCTCCAGGTACGCTCATCTGGCCCCTCCCCATATTCCTCATCGTTGGGTCCATATGCTAACAACCTTCTCAGAGTGTCAACAAGCGCCCACACGGCCGTACGCCCGTTATGCCGCTGCACCCAACGATGTCTGGAGCCTGGGCGTTATCCTGGTGAACTTGACCTGTGGCCGCAATCCCTGGAAGAAGGCCTCTCCCGATGATTCCACGTTTCGTGCATTCTTGAAGGATCCCAAGTTCCTCAGCTCGATCTTACCCATCTCCCCTGAGTTGAACATGATCCTGAGACGCATCTTCGAGTGCGACCCGCACAAGAGGATTACCCTCCAGGAGCTTCGCGAGTTGATCCTCAATTGTCCGAGGTTGACGACCAATTCGTACAATACCCTCCCTCCGTCGCCTCCTGCGTCTCCCTACGATTACGTGGACCCAATGGATTGTGCCAACATGGCTCTGCCACCCTCGCCACCTGCTTCGCCATCTCCGCCACAACATTTCCAACCTCAACCTTCGGAGTGGTCTTTGTTTGAACCTGCTTCCAAGCAGAGTTCCTCTTGCTCTTCGCTTTCGACGGATTCCGGATACGAGTCCGAGGCTCCTTTCCATGATGCTGGCCAACGTTTACAACCCCCCGTCTTCAACTTCTATGGCAACGTTATTCCGCTGAATGAGCACGAAAAGCCTTACTATCCGCAACCGAATTTTGTTCCTTCGGTTGCCGCGTTTTAATCTTCCGACTTTGTTTTACATACGTTATGCAGCAATCTTGTCGACGCTGTAACGAGTTAACGGTGTTACGATTGGGGTTTCCCCTCCCATTTTCTGGATACCCTGGTGGTCGAATTTACGATATTACTTTACAAAAAACTTCTTTACCGGAATGGACTGGACATATTCAGGAAAAGCCAAGGGGTGATGCAGATTTACAGGAGAAAGTCAGCGCATTTGTCGGCATCCTTTACTAGACCGTGGATTCTCTTTTATGTGTGTGTGCATGCGCGTGTGTTGGGGAGCCTGAGCGTCGAAAGTTATCGGATGAGAAGAAAAAACTAGGGGAAAGGCAGGCGCGTTTGGAAGAGTATAGTCACTGTCCCTCAAACCAAGTGCTGGCGCGAGATGACATGATGGGTATATGGGGGGAGGGTTTTTTGTCACTGTTACTGTTACGCTACGAGGATTACTTGTGCAACATCCTATCTGAGGACATATCCTAGGATCAACCATGCAAGCCGGCTTTGGGTCATTCGAATCCCAGGATGATGAACACTTGAGTCTCAACACTGGGATTCCACAGGCTGACTCTGGACGCCTTGTCCGCCGCAGTCCGTGTTCAGCTCCAGGGTTTTCATGGCTTGAAGGGTATATTGTAAATAGCTTCAAATCGACGGAGAATCAAAATGTCGAATAATATCAACTCTGGGTCCAAAACAATTGTATTCTACTGATTCAGAACAGGTTTCTGAAAATTGGAATGCTCATTGACCTCGCCGTCGCTCTGAAAGTTACGTGGCGTATGCACGTGGCTGAAGGCGACTTTTCCGGATGCCCTCGAAGTATGGAAGTGGCAAAGAAGGGGAATCTGTCTTCCTCCCCCCATTTCACACCCTTCCAGACCTCTTCCCATCGATCCATCGCCGATCAGTCGAGGGTATCTCCCTCCGACCATTCAGCTGGGAGAGAGGGGTTTGTGGCCGCCCTCTCCCGCGGTTCTATTCCTGACGACATCATGTTTTTGCCATTCAGCGCAGCCTGCGAGGCAGCCTTCGCCCCGACTGTGCCGCTGGGGTGGCTCACTAATGCAAGCCCCTTCTGTTCCAGCCTTCGTCTTGACAGCGCATGCGTCAGCCTCTCGGCTTTGATAGGATGCATTGGCTGCCTTACTCCTCTTTCTTGCCCCGCTTTGTCGACCCTTCGATGACTTTCTTTGGCAGGATCCTCACCCACCTACGGTCTCACGGTTGGTCAGGTTGGCAAATCCTCAAGACTTTTGCCACGGACTACTGCAAGGTAGGCTGCAACCTTCACCTGCGTCTTCAATCCAGATGAACCTTGGTATCCTCCGCTCCTACGAATGATAGAACAAGATTTTGGGGTCTCCGGCTTCAATGGGGTGGCACGAGGGATCCCGTCCATCCTATTACCTGGAGAAAGGATATCCATGTCCGAACTTGAGGGCGAAACCGACCAGATTTACATGAGACTAACCCAAGGATATCGGAGAAATAGCCCCTCACCTCCTGCGCCGCGCACACTGAGCACCACCGAAACCTACCGCTAAGAATACGACCACCCATCAGAATCGAAAGCGTCCCTCCATCATGGGCGACTTATGCAGGAGCTTTGACGTTCGCTACCCTCCAGTGATCGACCCTTGGAACTTTGAGAACAACGATGGGCTCCAGACTGGCCTGCTAGGCGTAGTTTTGGGCACGGTTGAGGGTTGTTTTCAGTCCTGGCTGAAAAGCAGGAGGGTTTCGATACCCAAGAACGACTCCTGCAGCCTTCCAGACAAAGGATAGTTGGACCAAGGAGTGCGAGGAGGGGCAGCGACGGAGCAATAACCACACAGTCCCTCAATGCTGATTGACTAGCGAGCGCCCACACGAGGGGTCAACAGCCCTTCCAAGTACCTCCGATGTTTGTACAGACAGTTCAGTAACTCAGTACCCCTCTCCCCATCCCGCTTTGACAGGTTGGGCATTGTGTCACCGATAAGCCTTGATCCAATCCTGTCGACGATGCTGAGTTCTACGTCAGCCCCATGATTGTGCGCCTACACCACCTCGATGGGAGCCATGATGTTTCAAACAAGAGAAAAACTGGGGCCGAGTTGTTGAAAGTCACAATATACCTGCTGTTCGGATGCTGACCGTGGCAGTGACCGAAGTCAGCAGAGAAACAAGAAGCCAGAAGTCCCGTACCTTGAACCTGGAGAGCAAGCCCATGTCCTGGCAGGCCTGAGACGGCCGACAAAAAGCCACGGAAGGACTGTAGGTACTACTCGAGAGGGCCAAAGTCACTTGGGCACAATCGTTCTTGACGCCGCCCCCAGCCTCAGCGACGAGCCAGTGGCTCTCGCGAAGCCATGTGCTTTTCAAAGCGAGCTTCCTTTGTTGGAAAGGTCCATTTTCTCGAACAAACTCGGGGACCTTTGGCAGACTGTTCTTGGATTTGACTTCCACCCAATTGAGACGTCAGACTCTTCCGAAGCGAGCCGTGCTACAGATAACTCGGCGATCTGTTAGGGGTATAGGTCGTTTGCAAATTGCGCCCACTCACGTCGCTTTGCGTCCGGAATGCCTGGCACGCTCAATTCTAATGACAATGTCCACTGTTCGAGCGGCTGTTCAGATTCGCAAGCACGGTGGATAACCCAGCAGCCACGAGATACGGTTGGCATCCTCACTCTTCGCTACTCAGTCAGCTGGAGTGTATGGCATGAAGGGGTGGCATCACCAGGCTTGATCACCTAGTCTAGGAAGCCGAGCACTGCTCGACGACGACGCCAGTACTAAATCGGAGCGTCCATCTAGATACCTTCTGTTGCCGCCATGATGGTTCTACATGGTCTCCTTACCATCCGTCATTTGAAAAGGTAAGAGTCAGTGGATCGAAGCAGCATCTCTGCGGTTGGTTGAAAGACAATGTCAAGTCATACCATATATGGCTAGTTTAATTCCTGGAGCTGAAAAGGAACTGCAGATATGTGCTTCCAAATCTTGGTGTCGAATAGTCCCAGCCTGGAGTACAGTCATCATTCATTCAGCGAAGGCAGTATCCATCCAACCAGGATTTGTCGGTGATGGGTGAAAAGGCTGCCTCCTCGACGGATAGGTTTCCGCGAATGGTTTCCGGAGAAGTGGAACCCGCGATCAACTCTCATTCACGTACCCCTCGAGTTTCTTTAGCCAACTTGGTCTGGATGCTTGTGAATACGACATGGCACTCGAGGTAGAACCCCCCACCGATTAGCAACGAACCACACCACTCAGGCATCAAGGTACTAGGGCCGCAGCCCAAGCAACCTCTTGAGCCACGAAGCAAAGCCTCAGCCCAACTAGCGACAGGCACATGGCGAAAATGCCGCATACAAAGTCAAGAATGGGTTGTACTATGATGGTTTCGTGGCGATGGGTGAATTCCCCTGAGGCATGCACCGCGACTTATCCGTCAGAACACGCGCCCTCCTGCTGTGGTCGCCTTGTTCAGCGACGCGCTATCTACCATGATTAAGCATGACCCAAAATTCCAAGAAGATTGCTCTGTGGAAATCCATGCTTGGGTCGGTGGATCAACAGCCGAGTTTATTGCGAATTGTCACTCTCCCCCTTGCAGACAAGGAGGGTACTGGAAAAAGATATAGGCGAGAAGTATAGATCACATGACCCATTCGAAGATTTGGGACTATTGTTGGACATGTGCCGGTAAGGTAAAAAATCCCAGTCAAGTTGAGGTTGGTATTGAGGAAGGCAGGTTGAGCTGCCGCATGCAGAGGGTATGTTGTCCACACTGACTGGAGATTGCAAAATTGATCGAGTTCTAACACCTGGACGGCTCCCTCGGTATCGACATTGGATTCCAACCAGACACAAAATGGATGCTCGACGACACCTACAGACAGTGTGGACAACAGGGCGTATTGTATCTTAAGTATCATCAGCCGCCGAGTAAAGACGTCGAGGTAAAGACAATACTCCAGGTCCAGGCTATACGCCAACGTCAGCCTCGTGAAAAGAAGGCCAAGCGATCTACTGGTCAGAAACGCTGCGCTCATATCATCTTCGTCTAGTCTCAGCCTTGTCGATCACGTTGATTTCCTTTTCCTCTAAGAGTATGGGGGTGGCGTGGTTCCCATCTTGTTGTCTATTTTTGGCTGATCTTGCTGTGGACGGTGGATCTGGGGACACTCGGACAAGATCCTGACCAGGCATCAACGCTTCTCGGGAAGAGCCATTTGTGCCATTCCAAGCAAGCAGACCCAGGGGATATCAATCTACTCGAAATGATATCATCATGAGAAGAGACTGGAGATTCTTGCCACTTGGTCTCTTACCTCAGGATGCTCCAGCACGGATCCGGATGAGGTGAGAAACCAAAGGCACTCGTGATGCTCATTGCTGAGTACCTCATACGTCGGCAGCCTGGTCTGGGGAGGACAGACTGACGCCACATCTGGTCCGTGCCACAGGCGAGACTGCGCCTCGAACTCAGTCGCAAACAGTGGCTTAACCAGGTCTAGCGGCCGCGTGGGACTCGAGGAGGTACCTGTACCGTGTACTCGCTACCGAGTATCTCCGTGCAATAGTCATTGTGGGCAGCAGTTCCTCTTCCTCTCGAATAATTGATCCACTGTTACATTCGCATCGCTCTTCGTCCTCAGCTGTTCAGTCTCTCTTTGAATATTTTCTCCGGTCATGCTTTTTCTGTCCAAGTACAAGATGATAACGGGAAAGAAAGACCAAGTCCGACGTTGACAAAGTGATCGTGGCTGAGCCAAGTCACTCCCAAGACTCACTATTACGCGTCGCACTCCGAGGCGGTTGCTTCCCGCGTCTCGCAACCCTTGCCCAGCAATAATGGGAGGTACAGAGTGAAACTTCTCCTATATGGAATACCTTTCTTCATGATTATTCTTGGTCTAGAGTGACCCCAGATCCTTTTCCCTTGTTCACAGCTGCTCTCTATGCGTGCAGACCTTTTAGTTTGCCCTCAGTGCATAGGTTTATATCACTGATTGCCTTCGCATCACCCGAACAGCAGAAATTCTCTCCGCACCTCGGAGTGACGGCGGGCATTTCTCCCTCGGCTCCTCTAAACAGCCAAAGCCCAGCAGGTAGCAGATCAAATCTTTTGTTGTTGGTCAAAGCACCAAACGCTTTCATTCAAATCCTTCAAACCAGTCCTTCCAAAAAAACAAATCACCCTTGCCCCAAAGATTCGATTCTGACATACCTGCTCCGCCGCCTATCTGTCAGCCAACCGCTCCAGATTACCGCGCCCTATTGAACTTTTTCGTCCTTTCTCGAGTCCCCCAGGCGAGCCAGTTAAGCGAGCACCACAACCACCACCCATTCAACACCAGCGAACGAAACCCCAAGGTTTTAAGAAAGAAAAAAATTGATAAGAACCATGGCCGACAAATTCGACCCACCTGCATACCCTCCTCCTGCGCAGTACGCGGCCCCCAACCACAGCCAAACGGGCTTCCAATCGCCGCCACCCCAGATGGCCTACGACCCCAACTACCAACAACAACAAATGTACGATCCCAACCACGGCGCGAACCAGGGTTATTACGGTGGTGGACCCCCGCCGCAGGGCTACTATGGCGGACCTGGCTACGGACCACCGCAAGGCTGGAACGGCCAACAGCCCCCACCGCAGGTGGTATATGAGCGGGATCGAGGCAGCTCGGGCCCGGGTATCTGTACTGGGTTATTGGCCGGGTTGGCGTGTTGTTGCTGTTTGGATGCTTTGTTTTAAACAAGAAATAAAGAATAACGAGATTCCTTTTCTCTTGATTTGGGAAGGGGGCGGATACGTTGGGAGAGAAGCAAAGGAAGGGGTGCAGGAAGTTGGGTGCTGGGATTATTAATAGTCTCTATCTCTAGAGATGAAGGGAGTGTGGAAGACAAGACATTCCAGGGGCTGTTCATATGAGTTTTTCCGTTTCCCCTACAAATGGGTGATTGTGGGAGTGGGAATGGTTCGTGGTGTTTGAAATGGGATTATTGCATAGCGTAGCGATGCGGATTCGGGGACAACGGGGCCCTTTACTTGACTCTGTCACAAGTACAAGGTACAGCTTATCGAATAGAATTGATATATCTAATTCTTTCCTCTGGATGAGATGGCCATGACAGTAGCCAGATCGTCACATGTGACCAGATTCATAGTTCATGTCCTGTTCTCACATCACAGAACAAGCATTCGTCCCGCTCAGCCCACCACCCTCCTTTGTCGTCGTTTTCGCCGCGGTCCGGGTAATGTCTTCCAGGACCTCGAACATTAACTCGCCCGTCACGGCGCTGCACTCGGCGTAGCGATCACAATACATCTCCTGGGCGACGCGCAGCGCTTCCTGCGGCATGACGCACTCGTAGGACCCGTCCTCGCGCCTCTCCTCGGTGCGCTCGTCCCGCTTCAGGCCCAGCAGCATGACGGGCATGGTGTGCTCGAGGTCATGGTAGTGCAGGGACAGCTGGTGGCGCCAGTAGTGCTGGGCGTTATACAGGGAGTCGCGGGACGAGATGGAGAAGGCAATGATGGCGAAGGCCGGGTTGGGGGGGAACGGGTCGATGAACAGCGGCGATGTCGACGGGTGGATACGGAACTGGTACGGCCGCCGATACAGGGTGACGTCGAAGGTCACCGGCCCGACCGGGGCGAAGACTCGCCTGTGCGGTGGCGCGGGCGGGTTGAGCTTGCCGTCGCGGATGTGTTCCAGTTGTCTATCACGCCCCTCTCCACAATTTGAGCCTCGATGCCGGACATACAAGTACATACAAGCGATTGGAGCGATGGGGGAAAAGAGGGAGACGCAAAAAGTACTGTCTGACCGAAGCAGAACCTGTACAGGGATCGAGGAGGACTTACGACAGGAAGGTGGCTTTGCCTACGCCGGGGCTGCCGAGGAAGAGAATGTCAACTTCTGGCACGGGCTGAGCCTCCTTGGGCACTTGCGCTGTCATGGCTGAGCTCTTTGATAGAGGGCGTGTGCTCAGTCATTGCGACACCTCAAGGGTAGGAAGGGTTTTCGCGCCATGATATCGAGGATATAAGTGCGTGCACCAGTAGTTCGTTGGAGGATTGGGACTTGATAACAGCCTCGGCCAAGGGGAGCTAGACCGAGCCTTGACCAGCGCCACCAAAAGAAACGATGTGGGTGGAAATGGTGTCGGTCTGACGAAATATTATTTGTTTCACGCTGGTGAATCGACACCAGAGAGTATTAAAAAAATGGAAGTAATTGGTTCTTGTCAGACTGTGCTTATCTCGATCACTAGCCTGGAACGTGGCATGATACGTCATCGCGCTGGATGGCAGCCACCACAGCCACTGTCACCTTCCTTGACGCGTTTTCATCTCTCTTGAAACGGTGCCGCCTGCCTGCTGCATTGTCGCAGTACTCGTCAAGTATCATTTCCCCCTATCCCATCCCTTCCCAATTTTATGCCAGTCACTCAACTGTCCCAGCTCAAAGCGGGTCAATTCGTCTCGATCGTCCTCAAAGCAGACCAAAGGACCGGGCGTCAGGTTCAAGGCACCGTCTCCCAACTGCTCACCCGCCACAATCACCCTCGAGGCATCAAGGTCAAGCTGACTGACGGCCGGGTCGGACGAGTCCAGCAAATTCTCACGCACGCACAACAACAACGACAAGCTCCATCACACGGCAGGATGTCGTCGAATAATCCCTGGGCAAGCGCCGAAAGCCAAGGGAATCCGTATACCGCCCCCTCTGAGGAAGAGCACCAACAGCAACGCCAACAACAGACCCAAGGCGCCGCACAATCCTACTACCAGTCCCGTCCTCAGCAGGGCCAGACACAGCAGTTTCAGCAGCAATCGCACCAGCAGTCATTCACGCCCGCGCAAGGCATCAACCGTAGCGACACCGAACAGCTGTTGGCGCAGCAGAGCGACCGGGCCGAACAGGTCGAGCACATGCAGCAGTATGAAGCGAATGCTCGGCAAACAGAAGATGACAGGATTCAAGCGCAATTGCAGCGAGAGTTCCCCAATATCGACAGCAGTCTGATAGCTGCCATCTACAACGAGAGGAAGGGACAGGGCGATCTGGGTGAGGTCAGGGAGTTGTTGCAAGAATTGAATACCTCTTGAATTGGGGGACATGATCCTTAAACTGAGCGCGGAAAGAAGGCGATTGTCCTAGCTCCTCAAAAATACGGATCAGTGAATCCGTTTACAGGAAAGAAAGCAGAGAGGGCACACCACGAAATCGAGGTTTATGAGGGCTAGTGCTTGCTCTAGACAGGGTCAACCTTGTTTTCGGTCTGCCCTCATTCACGCATCTCTGGCTCTCTCTTCTGGGGGCTCGAGTAAACTATGCAATTAACAGACATGCCTATTTCTTACGAGATATATTTCACATTGATCGTGTGGGAGACTGTGCTCGAGCTGATAATGGATGTTTGCAAGTGCTATCATGGAAGTACCCTTGCAGCCAGCGCTGCCTCAACCCGCTCGACGATGTTGGCTGATCACTCTGGGGATGCTAGTGCAAATCTGATCTGCACCAAGTTCTCCGGTCTTTGGACCTTTCAATATGTTAGGGTCACAGGTTCTGTATCCCTAAAGATAGTATCCGGCAGTCAAGCATTTCCGCAGATCATATCATTGACCAAATGAACAGCATGGTGAGGTTCCCGAAGGTCAGTTCTTCGTCGGCCTGGACGTGCTGGCCGCGTCTAACAATAGATCCATGACTCTTGTGCTGCTCTAACGGCATATTTTGTCCGGCGGTCAAGGCTGTCTTCATGCCGCTGCTTTGTGATGCTGAAACCCGACACGGCCAACTGTCAACTGTCAAGCTATGTTAGAAATGATGTCAGTGGTATCTCAACACGCGCAGTAATCCCGTTGTCAGGCAATTTAGTCAATTTGTGCGAGGTGATTCGGAGACCGACTGTCTGATCCCCGATCAACCGTTGGTACAGGGCAGATACAGAGAGGATGCGTGAAGGCTTTCGGCGATTCAGATCCAACGTGGATGGGATGGAGATCGTGATGACGTTGTCGATCGACCAATCGCGGTCGGCCATTCCTGCGCAGCCTTGTACAGCGCCATGCATCGCTTCAACACAGAAGATGTGAGGCAGCAGTGCGCTTCTCGTGTATATAAATACACCTCGATCTTTTGATTTTCAACCCTCAGTCCAGACAGATCCAAAGCTTTTCAACAAGAAACTCTCTCCTCTCCAGGATTCCCTCTCCCGACTACCTATCAATCTACCAACTCAACCCAAACAATCATCCGTCCATTCATCCAATCCAAACCATACCATAACATATCAACCCAAAATATTGAGTGTATCCAATGGCGCGCTCCTGCTCCCTCCTCAAAACCGAGCCCCACCGCCTCCTCTGCCTCGGCGCCCACCACGACATGGCTCTGAGACTGCAAACAAAACTCGCCCCCCACTTCACCTACTGCGCGATCCTGACCAAGATCGAGCCCAAGCGGACGTACTCGCTCGACAACTTCGCCCTGCTCCTCGACGCGCTCTACCCGCCGCCCGAGGGCGTCATTGTCGGCGGCGGGTTTAGTGATGAGGAGGCAGAGCAGATGCGCAGGGTGGTCGAGGAGCGCGGCGTCACGGACGAGAATGGCACGCCGGTCAGGTTTGTCAGGGTCCCGGGGGGCACGTTGGAGAGGGGAGGGCCGGAGGCGTTGGTCGAGACGATTAGACAGTTGCTCGGGGAGGCGTTTGGCGTTGAGTGGTGATTGATATACTGTCCTGTATATCTATATACCTCACTATGTACCTGTGGTTTGAACGGATGCAGAGATGGCGGATGGATGGATACTGCAAAGGGGTTTTCCTCCCGGTGTTGGGAGTGTATACCATACACTATTTCATATCATATCATATCATACAGGCGTATCTAGCAACAAGCTCACACACACACAGAGAGAGAGAGAGAGAGAGAGAGAGAGAGAGAGAGAGAGAGAAAGTGTGTGTGTGTGTGTATGTGTATGGGGGTGGGGAACAAGGGGGAGTGTATACGAAGGAGCATACCTAACGGGGTTTGACGGTGGTAGAAAACCAGAGTCTCGAACACAAGTCACTACGACGTATACCAGTACAGTCAAATGTATTGCGAAATGTTGCTTGTTCATTGGGAAATGTGCCGTATTGCAGGTACAGTATGTATAAATATGAATGGTACTTGCTATGCCCTACCTCAACATTCAACGCGGTCGATTCAGTTCATTTCACTTTCGTTCCTTGCCATCTCTAGAACTATCCTTCCCAGCTCAGATCACATATGTGTTATTTGCCTCCTGGGGGATGTTCTCAGTGACGGCGCTGGGCAAACGGACCCCCCTTTGCAGCCAAGTCGACGGCCCGCTTGGTAGCTTCGTCGAGGTCCTCCTTCGGCAGGCCCAAGAGGTCATTGTGGAGGCCGTACTTGGACTCGAAGTCGCCGTCGCCGTTTGGGAAGAAGACACGCGAGTACAGCATCTTCTGGAACCCCGCGCGGTCGCCCGTCTTCATCTCCTCGGTGCCGGCCTTGTACCGCGCCTCGACGTCCTCGTGCAGCACGGTCCAGTCGGCCTCGCGGTCGCCCGTGACGCGCAGCACCGACGCTAGCATGTCGCGCTGGCTGACCCGGAAGGAGGACACGTAGAGCACGTCGTTCCGGAATCGTGATAGTGTCGGGGAGCGGTCGTCAGCGTCCTCGGGCAGGACCTTCAGGCTCAATAGCGCCGCTGCCGCGCGCCCGCACTGCAGCCACGTGGTCGTATTGATCTTGGTGTTGCCGTCCCCGTAGAGGGTGACGGTGCGTTTGGCAAAGTCGAAGCCGTAGCTCGCCGGGCCCGCCGACAGCGAGTACTCGTACCAGAAGCTGCAGGTGAAGCTGATCCAGGCGCTGACGCCCAGCTCCTCGATGCGCCGCCGTGCCGCGTCCTTGGCCGCCCCGATGAACGTCTCCTGCTGCAGCGCAGCGTTGCGCGGGTCGGTGCTGTACTCGTTGGGCAGGACCCAGGGAACCCCAGCCGCGGCAGCCGCTTCGATCAGCTTTGTCTCCGTCTCTGGCGGTGCCGTCACCGCCATCGTGATGATGAGCACGTCCTGGCCCCGCAGCGCGTCCACCAGCGTCGCCGGTTTCGCATAGTCAACCTTCTTCACCGCGATGCCCTCGGGCACAGTGCTTTGCGAGTCCGCCCGCGATATGGCAGTGAGTCGGTGCTTGCCTGTCTTGAGGAGTGCTCGCGCAATGTATTCGCCCACTTGACCTCCGGCCTGGTTTTTTGGTAGTTAGTATTTGTCGTCGGTGTCAAAGAACAAATCAATTTTATTACACAACCCTCGGGGAAATGAAGGAGATGAGGGAGGAAGAGGAAAGAGGGAGGCGGCTGCTGCTTGTGACACTTACCCCGACGATGGCAATGTTTTCCACATGGTTCTTGTAGCCCGCTGGCTGGTCCTTTGCATACTGTTGTTGTGCCATGGCGCAAGGTTAGGGAAGAGGGATTCGTTTGTCAAAGGGTTTTGTGTTATCTTGTAAAAGAACTCAGGGTCTGAGAGCAATTCACACCCAGTATAGACTCGACCAGGGCCAAAAAGGTGCGCTTTGAGAAATGACAGAGATCAAAATGCTCGATTGACTGGAGAGTTATTGTTTCTGGCGTTCGCTTGTCCGTGTTTGAGGAGGAAGACCCAACCTGCACATGGTGATGCGGTGGTATATATGTACTTTAGACATGTTATACCTCTCACTGTACACCAGAGTGACAAATCCCCGCATACGGAAATCAAACCTTCCCGACTGTCTCCTGGCTGGCCTGGTCTCGGACCTTGGGTCTCTATATCCGACCACAACGTTGCCAAACTGGGCAACGGACAAAAAGGTAAAACGTGCGATATACTTTGCTCCGCACATGTCGAATATTGTACGAACCAAAGAGGACCAATCGAGGCGGTCGTTCCGTCATGAGCCGGCAAAAGAAGTATAGCGACTTGCTGTCCACCAATGGTTCAGCGTGAACACCAGGCGGATACGAGTGGTTGTTAGTCGTAAATCTGGGGCGAGGTCGGAGTGAAAAGAAGCCGACTTTCTCGGTGACTTTTTGTAAGGAGCTCCATCACCCCATACTGTGCTTCAGAAATATACCTCGTACATGTTGTACATGTCCCAGGTTGGTAACTCCGTTCGATCTCAGACTGGTTAGAGCTGATTGTTTATCAAACGCTCGTCCTTGATCTCCTGATTCTGACTTGGGGGCTCGGGCGAATTGGCGCAACTCGGTCGAAACATTCGGCTTTAACGACAATACATCACTGCGTCTTGCCAGGGGCCTCAGCCTCGCCATGTCCACCTGGTCGAATTCCCCAAAGGTTTCATTTTCGTGCGCTCGTTACCAGGACTATCGTCATAATCTCATTGCGCCGGCGTCACGACCCAGTCGCATTGAGTGAGGATTGCCGGACAAATGCCATGCAGGGTTTCAAGCATAACAGACTCAGGAAGATACTCGCCACCTGCCGCGAACCGGAAGATCAACTTGTGCCGGTCTTCAGCTGTTTGCTTGGAGTAGCTCCACTCGAGATCACGACGCAATCTTTTGGGGATTCACAGCATGTTCCAGAATACCTCATTGGATCACTTTTTCAGTATGCTTGAGGGGATCACCGTCACTGTCGCCGATTGAACGAAGGGTTCGGAACATGGGGTGATGGTATCATGATCTGCCTGCTGCGAGAGTCTCATTGCTGAAAACTTTTGTGTCTGATTGCCTCTGATGAAGGATGTGATGGCGGCATCTTTGAATGGAAGCGATGAATCTCGAAGTAGTGCCAAGTCTCGGAAAAATATTACTCCGAAAGATCACTCTCTCTTCCCTTCCCTCCCTTCCACCTGCTCTAACAAGTCCGGCTCACCACAACAGAATATCAAAGGAGAAAAGTCTTGCTTGGGTGAAAACTCTGTGATGGCCTGAGCTGGCTTCTTCGGCCACCGAGTCTGTCTGTAATGGAAGCGACAAGCTCGTTTGCTTGCCTCGGAACCACCTTTCAAGGCGTGCAGCCCATTTAAGAGCTTCGACTGTTTTCAGGCCCGACAAGTATGATAGTAGCGAAGAACCAGTCGCATCATGTTCTTTGCGAATACGAGGACTCCCGAAGCGGCAACCAAGGGAAAATGGGCGGTAAGTGATGGGCCGCAACCCAGCCTATAACTAACCTTCACTGCTGCCTAGCTTCACACCATGGACAGCCCCCGAAGCATTGAAAAATCTGGGGGATATATTATACTTTACAGGAGTCGGTTTCCGTCGTGGATGGACAAAAGTGCTCAGGTTGACTCATAATACCTAATTCTTCATTCATGGCTTTCGAACTGAAACCTGCACATTCGAGAGATGGCACCAAGATTGCCTTCTATCAGATCGGCCAGGGGCCGGGAATCATAATTCTCCATGGCGCGATGCAACACGGCCTCAGCCACATGGACCTCGCGAAAGGTCTGTCGGATAGATTCACTTGCTATCTCCCTGATCGACGAGGACGGGGACAGTCCGGTCCAACCGGGAAGAACTACTCGGTCCAGAAGGAAGTGGAAGACGTTGAAGCCATCCATCTAGTGACGGGTGCACAGTTCATTTTCGGCGTGAGCTCGGGGGCATTAATCACACTGAGAGCGACGCTGGCAGCGCCTCCGTCGCACATCCGGCGGATCGCGGTGTATGAACCACCCTGGCGGCCCGACTCAGATCGAGAGGGAATGACGGCGTGGGTACAGAGATACGAGGCCGAGATCGAACGGGGCGAGCTTGCCAAAGCTGCCGTCACTGCAATGCTCGGCGCGGAGATGGGGCCTGGGATTTTCCGGTCAAAATACTTCCCACAAGGTGCTTTGGTGCTCCTGACGAAAATCATGATGACATTAGAGCAGACGGGCAACAAGCCGAATAAGGAGTTGGCCGGCGGAGAGAACACGCAACCATCGGTCAAGGATCTGATCCCAACATTCCGCAACGACATTGATATCGTGATGTCGATGCTTGGAGAGGAAACCCTCCAAAAGCTGGCGGCGATTCAAACAGAGACGCTTATCCTGGGCGGAAGCCGGAGCCAGGCGTATCTGAAGAACTCGGTTCGCGAGCTTGAAAAGATCCTCCCCAACGCCAGGCGCGTCGAGTTGGCAGGTGTCGATCACGGCGGGACGTTCAACAAAGCGCAACATGGCAGTCCGGAAGTATTCGCGGCCGAGCTCCGTCGATTCTTTTCTCGTGACAATGGCGACGGCGGCGGTGTATTAGAAGACAACACCACACCACCATGAACAGTTCTCCATTCAAGCGCTGACCTAGCTAGCATACCTCAGGAACCGAGGCTCGGGAGAACTAGGTCACCCCTATATTTCTCCTCTCGAGGGACGACGGGCTTGTCTTTTGGCTCATTTCCCATGGTCGAGTTGGAGAAGTCGGCAATGAGGATGGCGTTTAGGAGCGTGTTGCTTCTATCAAAGATGAATGTTGTGGAGACGAATATAATGAGTGTAGATGGTTCTTGGCTTGGTAGCAATACTTGTGTGCATTTCTGTAACCACACTGCCGCGTTAGATCCCGAGATTATTGTTGTACCCGGCTAAATAACCGGGCTCACTTACTCGCTCTCACTTTCTCTCGGGACTCGTCTTCCACATCCTTACCTGTAGCCGAGCATCCAAATACGAACGCTCTTCCGGTGCCTGTCTGACTCGGCAAACACCTTTACCCCCCTCACTAGTTACCAGCAGAGCACGTACCGCAGCCTTTCTCCGCAAAGTCAAATATTCATGCGGGCAAGATGGTGGGGGGGGGGGGGGGTCACCAGGGGATGGAAAGGTGGAGTAAGTAAAGTAAATAGATCAACACGTTGATATAATACCTACCCTACCAATCGCACACGCACTGCAAGGCTATCGTCGGGCTTTTATCTTTGCGAGAAAGAGTATTTGTCGTCGTCGTCGTTGTCGTCGTCGAAAATCACCTATCAACCCAGTCAACTGTTCCTCAGAGCTCAGGAGTATAGTATATGCGATAGGAAAATGGGCCGACTCGACGGGAAGAGTATCATTGTCACGGGCGCGGGGGCTGGGTTTGGGCGAGCTGTAAGTACATAACATGCATAGAACTTGCGATGCATTTGGTAGGGAATGCGAATGAGGCCAGGTTGGTTGGTGGTGTGCGTGTTCCTCTTGGTCTCCCTTGAAGGAGTCGAGAGGGTTTGGTTATGATGTAGCATTCAACAGGGAGATCGGATCAATCTGTGATCGAAGGGAGCAGTGAATTGTTTGTTTGGTATATCGGAACACAGTCCAGCATTCTAACGCACATGCCTCCCTCCGCAGATCGTCCAGAAACTCACGGCCGAGGGCGCCTCCGTCCTGGCCGTCGATGTCAACAGCGCGGAAAACGAGAGAACAGTCGCGTCGTGCTCCTCCAACTCCGGGAAAGTCCACGCCTTCACAGGGGACATCACACTCGAGTCCTCGTGGCGCTCCATCCTCTCGGCAGCACTCGAGGCATACTCCAACCGTCTCGATGTGGTGGTCAATTGCGCAGGCGTGGTACATCTCCCCAGTCCGTCGCATGAAGTGGCCGAGGATGAGTTCGACAGGATGTTTCGGGTGAACGTGAAACCGCTGTATTTGAGCACAAAGGTGGTGGTGCCTTGGTGGAAGGAGAATAAGATTCCCGGATCGTTTATCAATCTGAGCAGCATCAGTGACCCGCGTCCGAGACCCAATTTGGTGTGGTATGCTTCAAGCAAAGGAGCCGTTACAGTGGTAAGTATAGGAATCTCGTCTTCCCACCGAAATGTCATTCATGGACTGGTTTTCCCTAGCTGACGAAACCCACCTAGGCAACGAAAGGTCTTGCAGCAGAGTACGCTGTCGACCAGATCAGGTATAACTGTATTCGACCAGCGGTGGGAGAAACAGCCATGTAATTTGTCCATACTTGTCCAGCTTGTGATTGACTTCTGACCCAATTTCCCAGGCTTGCTCGCGCGCTTGGAGGGCAAGACACGCCAGAAGGGCGGGAAAAGATACTTGGTACGATCCCGCTTGGTCGCGTGTGCCAGCCAGCAGATATCGCAAATATGGTGTGTTTTCTGGCATCGGATGAGGCGAGCTATATCACAGGTGCAGCTTTTGACGTCGACGGGGGCAGGGGCGTGAGTTGAACGGATCCTGTTCAGCGCAATCTGCACAAGCGCCAATATATAAACAAGTTCAGTACATGATCGTACATGTGTTCCTTCCAACCGATACTTTACAAGCTGATCTCTCCTTTCCACATGGCGTCGTTCAGACCAAGTTTCTCGACAACATTCTGCCATCTTGGCCCGCCCCGGTCTTGCCTTCTTAGGTAGGCCATCAGCTTTTGTCTCTTGTGCACCATCATCCTCAATCGCCTCTTGTTGCTCTTATCCTTTTTGTGCAAGTTGTTCGCCAGGACGTTAATCTTTGCCGTCAGGATCGCAATTTGCACTTCGGGAGACCCTGTATCTGTGCCGACCCGTTTCGGGACAACGACTGCACTTGCATCAGTGCCTTCGCCTTCCTTGAGGACATTCTGCTTGCTCTGAAGCCCTGGCGCAAGAACTCCATCGGTGTTGTGACGCCCAAACTCTTCAATACATCTTTGGACGTTGATGCGTGTGCGATCCTTGCTATTCGCATTATCTAGCGAGGCAATAGCCAGCAGAGCCTTGGAGGCATTCTCATGGGAAGCGACATGCTCCTTGACCCTTTCAGCAAACCTCGCCTCAGCACCCACAATAGGGTTGGATTCCGGAAGAGGTTCACTGAGCCATTTGGAATATTCCAAAGACTTTTGCACGTCTTCGGGTTTGAGAAAGTAGTTCAGGTAGGACTCTTTGATCGTTGAGATGGGAGCATTTGCCTGCAGAGAGTTGACAAACGGGGTCGGTCGTGATCGGACAGGGTCACCGAGGGCGAGCTCGCGTTCTTCTTGCAGGACTTTCTGTCGTGCCAAGTTTGCCGATTTGCGCTGCCGGGCCTGTGCCAGCCGATATGGATCGATATGCTTTCTGACTTTTCGTTTCCTTGTCCGCTTCGCTTCCAAAGGAGCTGTGGTTGAGAAGAGACAGGCAGAGCACTTGGTAAGGGCTTGATTCCGCGTGGTTGCGGGCAAACTTTGAAGGAGACTGGCCACTGCATGTCTGGTCAACACAATTGTCGAACAAGAGAGTAGTGGACTCACGATTGAAGATACTGCCTGTGGCAGCAGCGGGAATTCGGGGAGGCATAGCTACAGTGTTGAACCCGATGAGACTTCGACGCAGTCTGGTGTCCTCGTGCAGCACAGAACTTTCCCCGAGTCTTCAATCGAGCTTGGGAATTATCCCGCTACAAAGTATTTCCGATCCGATAGGGGCACGCCGTCGCATTCGGGAAGTGACCCGAAGAGAAATCTTGGCACGGATTAGCTAAACGCACATTGGAGATCATTGCTCGATCTTTTACCTGAACTTTTGAGACTCGCTGCTGGACTTCAACCCTCAACCCTCACATTCTCACTCCCTTCTTTCTCAAGCACTCGCCTTTTTGACTGATCAAAGAACCTCAGTCGCAAACATGGCGAGCCCAGCGAACCTCCCCGCTATCTTCAACCCCACCTCCCAGGACATTGAAATGCTCCTCGCGGCACAATGTCACTTGGGCTCCAAGAACCTCCAGGTTCATATGGAACCTTACTTGTGGAAGACTCGTCCTGATGGCATCAACGTCATCAACATCTCCAAGACCTGGTATGAAACACACCCGTTCTGAACTGTGCTTTCAGGGAGCTTCACAAACGCTGCGACTCTGGCGCAAAATCGCGCCTTTACCCGAACTGAACTGACTCGATCGTCCCGCAGGGAGAAAATTGTCTTCGCAGCCCGCATCATCGCCGCTGTCGACAACCCAGCCGACATTTGTGTCATCTCTGCCCGTCCCTATGGCCAGCGTGCAGTCCTGAAGTTCGCTGCCCACACCGGAGCCGTCGCCATTGCCGGTCGTTTCACCCCCGGTAACTTCACCAACTACATCACCCGCTCGTTCAAGGAGCCTCGCTTGATCATTGTGACCGACCCGCGCACCGACGCCCAGGCCATCAAGGAAGCCTCATACGTCAACATCCCGGTCATCGCCCTCTGCGACACCGACTCGCCCACCGAATTCGTCGACGTTGCCATCCCCACCAACAACAAGGGTCGTCATGCCATCGGCTTGATCTGGTGGATGCTGGCTCGTGAGGTGCTCCGTCTCCGCGGCACCCTGGCCAGCCGTGAAATCGAGTGGGATGTCGTCGTGGACTTGTACTTCTACCGTGACCCCGAAGCCGAGGAACAGAAGGAGGAGGAGAAGGCGCCGGGTGCGGACGAGGCTGGCACGGCTGTGGTCGAACGTGGATTCACAGACAATGCGGACTGGACTGGCGAGCCCGGCGCTGCGCCTGGTATCGAGGGTGCTCCTCAGGCCGATGCCAACTGGGCCGAGCCTGGCACTGGTACCGCCGACTGGGCCCAAGAGGCGACCGCCGGCGCCACTGGTTGGTAAACGTCTTTTGCTCGAGCAGACACTGTTGCAGAGAAACCCGCTTGACAGCAGTTGTACCCTCTATCTGCAAGTCCGCCGCACCAACACAGTTCATCAGCGCCTGAGTCTCACCCGCAACCACTACTCTATCGCCACCGATATGTCCAAAAGTTTAGACAAGACAGACAATTGACCCCGAACCCACACCCCACACCCAACTCGCAAAGCAAAAGGCCAAAAGTCAACGGCACTCACGAGGGAAAGATACTCGACACCCTGAGGATCAGTTTATTCGTCCTCGGTGTAGAGGGAAAGCCCTGTGCTGGAGATGAAGGGATTGTACTTGATAGTTGCCCAGCCTTTTTGTTTGTCCGAACGGAGAACGGATGGATGTGGCTTAAGCGAAAAATAGACGCTGAAAGTACCTCAGCAGGTTCTTTTCGCGTTAAGAAAACAAAAACAAAATAGCTCAATTCCATCAATGTTGAGAGAGCCCAAAAGAAAAGTAAAAGTAAAAGTACAAGTCGGATGCATCCGTGATCCTTGTCAAAGATTTCCCCATCCTGCATAGTTGCGCTCTGGTGTTTTCAATTTTCAATTTTTTTGGTTTCGTTTTTCTAAGTCTTTTCTATATCCCCAACATTGCGTGGCGCATTTGCCCCGACGTGTCCGTTCCCTACCACCATACCAGAGCCGAAACAAAAGAAATTGTCCAATACCATCGACGGTACAGTCCAGCGCTGGCGCACTCTCTCGTTGATGCCCCATCACGCGAGCACTGTCCATTTCCATTTCCCAAAAGAGTGTCAGGTTGTGAGAGAGATCGCAAATTTCCTTTAGGTGACAAGATAACTCCCCAAAACCTTCACATGTCATAGTCAGAGCAGAAACCAGATTGCACACACAGAAAGCCTCCCCATCCGCCCCGTGTCTTGAATACCATGGCTTGTCTTTCTCACTGCCCGAGACGCTGACAGCATCACAGGCAGCAGGTTCCAGATTTTCAGTTGTATAGCATTGTCGCATAATTTTGGTCGAATGCCGCAAAGTCGTCCAACTCCTTCCGGCTATTTTGTCCCGTAAACCACTGTGTCGACAGATATTGCGATCTTGTTCTCCAGGTTCACTTTACATCTCCAGGATGTAGTTGTAGATTGGTTCGATTGTGTATTTGTTCCTTAGCACTCGAATCGATTCTCTGAGGCTAAGGATAATCGTTGAGAAGTGTATACGATGATTTCTGTCCAGCAGAGATGAGAGGGACCGAGTCGGAGATTTGTAGTCGACGGATGAATCCTGAGGTGAATTTCTTTAGTTAACAGTCCTGCCACCGATGCATGCAGGGTTCTTGCATTCCAATCGAGTGCAGGCTCGTGTCTGCGGCTTTCCGCGGTGCAATCGTCGTCCGCATGGGCACCGACCATTGGCACAGGCTCGGCAAATGCATTCAGCAGTGTGTGCTGGAGCCGGCTCTGGTGTCGGAGACTGATACTTCTGGGTCTTCTTGTGCATGATGCTATGAGTGGTGGTACGAGATGAGAAGGGTAACTGATGATGTTCGAGAAATGGAGGATCGCGCCAATGGAAGCAGATAGTGTTGAAAGGTAGTTCTAGAATTGAGATGTAGACTTGATGGGACTTGGAAGAGGTAGTGATGCTGATGAAGGAGAGATAGAAAACCGGGATCGCGGACAAACTTATATATTCGAAGACTTACAGTTGCCGAACACTGCCTTCATGTCCCAGAAGCCTCAGAGGGCAGTCTCAGAGGGCAGCTTCAACAAGGAGTGTCTCTAGGGCACCAGGAAACCCTTTATGATCTTGTCTCGTAACCACAAAGGCTCGGAAGACGTGCTTTTGTCCACGACCCACGAGTCGTCCTGCCTTGCCGAGACCGCTGCGTGCCTCTAAGAAGATGGTGGAGGACTGCCACTGCCCACAGCCTGGAATCATTGTTGTAGAGCAAGTAGACAATTGATTCTTTGTGCCCGACTGTCTCAGGTCAGAGAGATTCTGAGCAGATGACACGGAGAGGTAGGCATTGAGAGACTGCTTGCAATCAGGCCTGCCCCAGTCTCAGCCTTGAGGACCCCTCCACAACTCTCGCCTCAAAGAAGTCGCTGCCTCATCATGATGCGGATATTGAGCATGCTCCGTGAACCCAGGATGTTCTTGAAGCTTATCAGGATATATCACGAGCCTGATGATCGCGTTTGCGATGCTATCATTCCGTAGCTGTTGCCAGCAAAATTCCATCTGGAAAGTGGCTGCTTCGGGATGCAACATCTTGCCGTGTTGTTTCCAGGACTGATGCTGACAAGACAATTGGCAATTACTGGAATGAACTTCTCCGAGACACGAGGCTGTGAGTAGAAACCAGTGAGCTGCGACGGATGTTGGGAATTGGACTGGATCAGGGGAAAGTTTTCCGAACTCAGCCTCGCCAAGATTCTTGTCACGTGCGCGTTTCATTTCAGCCTCGCGTCTTCTGTACAGGTTCATGACACTTCGTTCTCAGCATTCTTGTATGGTTGTCGTCTTTAGGGGTCTAATTAAGTACAAGTTATGTCTCCAGCGCGAACCAATCAGCCTTTGTACTCTGCTACATATATGCATACACTGGTGCGGCACTGTCAACATGAATCTCGTGTGGCACCCAAGTATCAGGCTGAAACAGACGATGTACTTTTCGGTTAAGGGCAGTGGCTAGTCTCTGGGCGAGGCATCCCAGCCGTCACTTCGCCTTCGATTCGGGGGCTGAAAGTGTCCACAAGAGTATTGCAGTCGTCTGTCTCCAGGGCAAGCTTGACTGGTTTTCAGCCGCGTGAGAATTTCCCACCTCTTTATTTTTCTCTTTTCGTTGCTCGCCCTTGTCCATCAGTCCAATATTCGAGCACATCTCCCCTCTCTTCAATCCACCTCAATGATGGATTTCATGGTTTGTTTTTGAAGAGTCGAGGTTACTTTCCGGCCCCGTTGCCGCCTCCCGACGACCCGTTCCACACCATCCTTCCGATTGCTTGTCAGAACTATATCAGAGATCCACCATGGCTCATACTGACACGACATCATGGGCTCCCTGGAAAGTTCTCCTGCACTGGTCTCCTTTTCATATTGACGCCCTGGGTCTTGTTACACTCTTGGGAGCTGAAGAGGTCAATGCAGCGGTCGGCCGTCTCGTGAGCAGTGCCTATCTTGAGTATTTGCCTTTGCTGGGCGCGTATGTCATTGCCGGGAACCGATTCACCGAGAAAGCTGCTGGCTTCAATCTCTACAATATATCACAAGGCATCCATACGACCGACCTCGCCGCCTGGTTGACGAGATGGATGCTCTCGCAGCAATTCGAGACCACTCGCAACTTTGTGGTCTGGACGGTGACGCCGCCGATATCTCGAAAGAATGAAATAACATTCTCGGTCGTCATAAGCGTCGCACTGAATGGCTTCCTCGTTGCCGGCACGATTCTCTCCAAGGATTGGTATGGCTTCGCTAACGCAATTGCCATGATTGTCTCCATTGTCATCCGTGCCTATGTGATCGGTCAGCAGCGCATCGCATTCGATGCTATGGTCGACAAAGTCGTCAACACAACAAAGCCCGAAGGAAATACCTACGAAGCAAAACGATACGCGTACGAACAATGGGAACAAGAAAGGAAACACGAGAAGAAGTCCAATGTAAGGAGCAGGGTGACAGCGTCAGCCTCTCAGGAAGCCCAATCGAGTGGGAGCAATTCATCGACCCCTTCAAGCGGACAGAAGCAATCTACTCAGAATGTGCAGTCGATGAATCGTCCGACTCGCCCAAACCCCAAAGATTACGACGAAAAGACCGAGGTCTGGAACGGTACACCCACCAAGGTCCTCATTATCCAATCTGACTCGAAAGCCGTCACCTTCTGGATGCCCAACGAGCTGCTGTTTGCGCCGTCGGTCTTTATTGAGGGGCCTGTAATATTGAATCCCAAAACATATTTCGCCGTGCGGTCGATTGGGTGGCTGGCCTTTGCTGTACACATTGTCGCCATCGGCATGGCAGACCTGGCGAGTCAGATGTACACGGTCGCTCTGATGGTGCTACCGACCATCTTACTGATAGCAAAAGTTGGGTGTGACGACTCGGAGTGGTTCACAAACTTTGAAGCTTGGGTCAGGGGTAAACTCCACGGACAGGACGTCAAAAGCAAGCGACAGGAAGAAGCTGAAAAGGGCGTGAAACCCACGGAATTCCGCAAAGTCCGGCAGTGCTGGGTCGGATCCCGGCTCCGGGCCGAGATCTACGAGTGGCCGGAATCATACGAGTTTCACGAGGAAGGCAAAGACAAGGACAAGAAATGGGTCAGCGGGCGCACAGAAGGCCAGGAACGGTCCAAGAAACGACAGGACCTGTACGCGTGGCTCGCACTCACCACGGACGAAGAGGAGAGCATGGACAAGTGGGACCTGTTCCCGCATATCCGTAAGGGGAATACTTCGTGGTGGCAGACGTACAAGCTCAAGAAGGCCACGCTGAAAGGCGATAAGCGGGACAGTATGGGACCGCAAGATCCCCTTGATACGTCGCCTCCTCCTTCACAACAGCAGCGACGACTACCACCACCACCACAGACACAGCCGGGTAAGCCTCCCGCCACCAATACGACTAATACCGCTGCCACCGCCGCCGCCGCTCAAAGCAGTTCCCATGAAAATCGGACCAGATCGTTCCAAATGCCAGGCAGGACAGCTACGTTCCACTTCATCGACGCCGCCGCGGGTCCACAGCAGACAAAGGCAGAGCGCCGCCAGAGCAGCTCCGTCACGATGGGCAGTTCCGCGTTCCCTGCCATTAGCGACCACGACCAGATCCAGGCCGACGAAGGCGAGCAGGTGCACACAGACGACGCCGAGACGCAGACCTTGGGGGATCCAGCCGCGGAACCTGGCAAAAGCGACGACAACACCGCCGCCGAGGGTCTCCCTCCCATCACCACTCAGCTCCCCAGCCCACCGCGACCAGACCACGACGCTGCCGCTGGC